CTCTTCTCCGGGCGCTCTATTATTCAGACAACTTGAGGGCTCGGTCGGACGCGAATGACTGACTGAGTGGGGAAACAAGGCGAACGCGACCCCGTGCCAGCCGGACGGGCCGGGAGAGTCCTTGATAAGGCGAGTTCCAAACAGGAAGTCCTTGGCAAGAATCGCCTGATGAGGCGATCCTGACTAGGATAGCCGCGTTGGGAAGTTCATGAAGACTCCTTAGTAGGCAGTGCCTCAGGGCGGTGCTGGGTGCCGGGCGGGGAGGCGGGGCTCCGCCCGGGCCTCATGTCACCTCGGCGACGACGCGGCCGCCACCAGAGCCAGGGCGCCCGACGCACCCAACCTGCCCACCGAGCCCGTTGCCAGGACGACGGCGGTGACGAGGGCGCCCAGGGCCGCCGGGGAGGGCGGCCGCCATCGCCAGGACGCCGCCGAGCTGAGCGCCGAGGCCTGGCAGCCCGGGTCGCGCATGCGCAGCAGCGGCACTCGGTGGCCGGACCGTGGGTCCACGCACGACGCCTGCCGCGCCGCGTCCTGGAGCTGCTGGGCTGCGTCCGCCGCCACGGCGTGCACCTGCAGGACCTCGCGCAGCCAGCGGCGGAGCCAGCCGCCCAGCCAGGCCAGCGCGCAGTCGCACGACCAGGGGTTGCCGTTCAAATTGAGGCCACCTAAAACAAAAGATCGAGTTAGAGATCCATTAAATCTTCGTAGCTATCCCATAGCCTTGCACCAGGCCCGCTACGCTGCGCGCTCACCTGGTATCAGTTTGGTCCCCACAGTCTCCCAACTGGAGTTGTGGTAGAAGGTGTCGGCCGACAGCGAGGTGAACTGGTTGTCCCGGATGTCCAGCGAGAGGTGCGCCACGCGCTCTAGCCGAGAGAAAAGCCCAGGGGGAAACTCGGACAGCTGCGTGCCGCGAATCTGCAACGAGAGCGTGGTGTTAGAAAAGGTCATGTGTAGTTATTTTTATTTCTCCAAAACGTACTTTTGGCTTTGTTTTTTCTAAACTCTGATTTTTTCTCTGAAAGTTTGAATTTTTAAAATGTTTTTGAAAACTTGCGTTATTTTTTGTTTACTGGAAAAGTTTGCAATTTTTGCGAAAAAAAAGTATGGTTTGTTAAAACCATAGTCGCGCCCTTCAGTCTGCTCACCTGTAGGGCGAGCTCCTGGTGGTCCTCGATGCCCTCGAAGGCGTCGCCGGCGGCGACCTGGAGGTCCGGGCCGGTGAGCTCGATGCGGCGCAGTTTGGGGTTGAAGGCGCCGAGGAGCTGGTCGGTGAGCGAGCGCTCCAGGACGCGCACCGACAGGCGGCGCAGCGACGGCACGGCGGACAGCGTGTTGCCGAGGCGGAAGCGGTACTTCTCGATGCGGGGCCAGGTCTGCGTGGACAGCGAGGTGAGCGCGCGCAGCCGGCTCAGCGAGTCCGAGTCGAAGCGCTCGAGCCGCGGCAGGTCCACGGCCGTGAGCGACTGCAGCCGGGGCAGCCCGGCGAAGCTCTCCCGCGTCAGAACCTGGAACAGATCGGGGCCGGGACGGGGTCAGGCGGTGAACTTTCTCCGACAATCGATCGAGACGGAAGTGAAATGACGTAGACTCACCTTAATGGGGTTGCCCGAGATGTCGAGCTCGCGCAGCATGGGCCCGGCGGGCAGGTGCTGCAGGTCGTTGTTGCTGAGCACGAGCACGCGCAGGCGCTGCAGTCCGTCCTGCGGCGAGGGCAGCGAGCGGATCGCGTTGCCGCTCAGGTTGAGGTGCAGCAGGTGCGGCAGCGGCAGGGCGGGCGCCGCGTGCAGGCCCGTCTCGGCCAGCGACAGCCGCCGCAGCTGCTGCACGTAGTGGAACAGCTCGCCGAAGTTGGCGCGGAGCGTGTTGCGCGACAGGTCCAGGTCGAGGAGCCCGGCCAGGCTCGAGAAGACGTTGTCCGGGAGGAAGGTGAGCCGGTTGCGCGACAGGTTGAGCGTCGTGAGCCAGGGGATGCCCGGGAACATGGTGGAGTCCAGGTGCTCGATGATGTTGCGCGACATGTCGAGCAGGCGCAGCGTGTCGCCGACCTCCTCCAGGGCGCTGCTCGGCACCACGACGAACTCGTTGCCCGACAGGTCGAGGTGCTCGACGCGCGTGCCCGAGAGCGCCGAGCGCGGCAGTGAGCGCACGTGGTTGTCTGACAGGTCCACGATGCGCAGCGCGGGCAGGCGGGCGAACTGGTCGGGCTGCAGGTGCAGGATCTGGTTACCCGCCAGGCTCACGATCTGGAGGCGTCGGTACCCGTCGAACGCCCCGGGGGCCACGGCCGAGATCTCGTTGTTCTCGAGGCCGATGAGCTCGATGGCGGGGAGGCTGCCGAACGCGTGGCCGTCCAGCTTCGTGATGCGGTTGTGCCCCAGGTACAAGCGGCTCAGCGTCGTGGACACACGCATGAGGAAGTTGACGGGCACCTCGGCCAGCTGGTTGTGCGACACGTCGAGGACCTGCAGGTGCAGCGGCACGCCCGTCTCGCCCTCGAACAGGTCGACAATGTGGTTGGACGACAGGTTAAGAGTCAGCGGCGTTCGGTCCGAGGTCACGTTGAGGAACGCGCTCATCGAGAACATCGTCAGCCGGTTGCCGTGGAGGTCGAGGTTGTTGAGGGCGGGCAGGTTGACGAATGCGCGGGCGTCCACCGAGGACAGCATGTTGCCACCCAGCAGGATGTTGACGAGGCTGGAGAGGTCGACGAAGGCGCGACCCGCCACGGAGCGGATGCGGTTGCCCGTCAGCACGACCGTCTGCAGCCCCGTCAGCCCGCTGAACGTCTCCGCGTGCAGGCTGGCGATGTTATTGTAACCGAGTCGCACCTCGCCCAGGCTGGCATGGATGCTGGCGTGGAACAGCCCGGCCGGCAGCTGCGTCAGGAAGTTGGACTCGAGGTTGAGGTACTGCAGCTTGGGCAGGCGGTACAGCGCCGTCCCGTTCACCAGGCGGATGTTGTTGTTGTCGAGCGAGAGCCACGACAGCGAGGCCAGCGGCTGCAGCATGTCCTCGGGGAAGTGGTCGTCGTACAGGCAGAAGGAAGCCTCGAGGCTGAGCAGCGAGTCGCCGAGGCCGGCAAAAGCGAGCGGGTCGACGTGGCGCAGCTTGTTGAAGGAGATGCTGAGCTCGCGCAGCCGCGGCGCCTGGCGGAACGTGTAGGGGCCCAGCTCCGTGAGCAGGTTGTTGGGCAGCAGGAGCGTGTCGAGCGACGCGGCCCAGTCGGCCAGGTCCTCCTCGCTCAGCTCGGCGATGCGGTTGTAGCCGATGTTGAGGTGCGACAGCTTGCGCAGCGAGCGCAGCGCCGCGGCGGGGACTTCCTCGAGCCGGTTGCCCGTCAGCGAGAGCGCGCGCATCGTGTTGGCGAAGGCGTGCAGCGAGTCATTGGCCAGGGACCGCAGACCATTCTGACCCAGGTACAAGTACCTGCGGAGCACGCAAAACATCCTTTTAATAACATAACTTTTGGGTGATGTTTTTCTCTGCCCTCGGTCCAGATATGTACAGAGCGCGCAGCGAAGCGTCCGACTCTGCGCTCTGCGAATATTTCCGCATCTGATTTTCTTTTTCTTTTAAAACAGGGGCAACAACAAATACCCGAGCACGCGTATCTCGGCTTCGTGAAAAAAATTTAATTTGCTTGTCCTTGCCCGTAAACTTATGCCAAGATAGCGCCGCATCGAACACCCAGGCGTGGCGGGGCGTTGCGTGCCCGGGGGTCGGTAGACGCGTTGTGTGTGCATGGCGCCCCGCCCGCGCGCCCCGCCCAGGCGCGATACGCTCACATTACCGCCCGGCCCGCATATCTAAACGGGACCGGGACAACTCATATAGCGGCGCGGAGGTATCGGATCCAAACAAGGGCCATAATTTAGAAAACTATCCCCCACCCTCCCCCGGCCGCGCGCCGCTCCGCGAGGCCCAGGGCTCCCCGCCACCCTACCCCACCCCGCTCCTCTACCCCCACTCACCTCAGCCGCTTCAGGTGCTTGAGCGCGTGCGGGAACACGCCCAGGCGGTTGCCCTCCAGGTCGAGGTACTCGAGGGTGTGGCCCACGCCGACGAAGGCGCGCTCGTCCAGCGTCTCGAGGCGGTTGTTGCCCAGGAAGAGGCGCACCGTGTTGCAGCCGCGCAGCGCCTGCGCCGGCAGCGTCTTGAGGTAGTTCAGGTCGAGGTGCAGGTCGCGTACCTGCAGCGAGCCGTTGAACACGCCCGGCAGCACCTGCAAAGGAGAGGACTCTCAGCGACAAGTAACCCCACCATGCTTCCGACTAGATAGTTTAATTTTTTTCAAATACATCTCAAGAATTTTTAATTTTTAAACCGTTAGATAATTTTTTTTCGATTTTTTTTTTTTTTTTTTTTACATTTCTTAAGTGAAATATTTCGGACTTTTAAATCCCTAGCTCCGACGCGTACCTGCAGATGGTTGTCGCCGAGGTCGAGTCGGTCCAGGGTGCGCTTGCTGTGGAAGCCCGTGGCCGGCAGGCTCTCGATGACGTTGCCGCGGAGCGACAGGACGCCCAGGTTGGGCAGCTGCTGCACCAGCTTGGCGGGGAACTCGTGGATGAGGTTGTGCGCCGCGCTCAGCGTGTGCAGCGAGGCCGGCAGCGCGCCCGCGTTGAGCTCGGCCAGCTTGTTGCGGTCCAGGTCGAGGGCGGAGAGGCGGCGCGAGTCGGCCAGCAGCCCGCCGGGCCCGGGCGGCAGCTCCAGCAGGTCATTCTCGCCGAGGTAGAGCGAGCGCAGCGAGTCCCGCAGCCCCGTCCAGTTGCCCGTCAGCGAGCCGACCTGGTTCCTGCAACATCAAAGACAAACATGAGCTAACCTCCGCAATGTGGTCGCACCCACCCATCCCCTGCTCCGCCGGCCGCTGCAATAGCCCGCTATATAGTGGCGGAGAGCTGCTGCGGCCGTAGCCATGCGTCAGTCCTGCAAGGTTAGCTAAACTCCCGCGCCATCCGTCTCCCCCCGCCGGGGCCCCGCCCCAGCCGGCACGACTCTCTGATGCATGGGTCACTAGTTACACTCTCAACACAATGCGCCGGCGGCGCACGGCTTGCCTGGCGCGGCGCGCGCAAGGTAAACTGCTTAAACTGCTTAAACACCTGCTACTGCTGCTGGGCAGGAGTTGGCCCCGGCTATCGTGGCCTCCATCGGTGGGGGGTGGGGGGCCTGGCGGAGCGGAGCTGCGGGCAGAACCAACCCCCTCCCGCGCGCTCGTGAAATATAGATGGCAAAAACAGTGGCGGCGTTTAGGGCCGTGGCGCGGCGTGGCGCGGCGAGCCAGTGCGGCAATGTGTACCACAAGATGAGAGATAAAGTTGCTGTGTACTGGAGTGTGTGACCAACAAGCCGCGCGAGGAGGGTCGTCAGGAGCCCGGGGCGGGGGAGAGAGAGGGCGGGAGGGGAGCAAAGTGGCAGAACCGTGGCGTCATTCCAGTCTGGGGACGCGGGGGCTGCGGGCAAAACAACACGTCTGGTCGGGCTCGGCTTCCTTGGGCGAGGGGACCGGAGGGGACCAGACCAGCGGCTACGAGGAGGACATTGAAAACGCGGCGCGAGGAGGCTGCGGAGAGGGCTGGTGGGGGAGGGGGCTCATGGGAGAAGCGCCAGCCGCAACCCGGCCCTGCTCCTCCACACTGTGATTCCTAAAGGCAACTTTTGTGTCGGCCGGGGTATTTGTACAAAAAGATGCT